GCACACTGACACGCACACTGACACACACACTGACACACACACACTCCCACGCCCACTGACACGCACACTGACACGCACACTGACACACACACTCCCACGCCCACTGACACGCCCACTGACACACACACTGACACACACACTGACACACACACACTCCCACACACACTGACATGCACACTGACACGCACACTCCCACACACACACACTGACACACACACTGACACACACACTCCCACACACACTGACACACACACTGACACACACACACACACACACTCCCACACACACTCCCACACACACTCCCACGCCCACTGACACACACACTGACACGCACACTGACACACACACTCCCATGCCCACTGACACACACACTGACACACACACTGACACACACACACTCTCCCACACACACTCCCACACACAGTCCCACACACAGTCCCACACACAGCTCCCACACACACTCCCACACACACTCCCACACACACACTCCCACACACACTCCCACACACACACACACACTCTCCCACACACTCTCACACACACTCCCACACACACTGACACACACACTCCCACACACACTGACACACACACTCCCACAGACTCTCCAACTTTATTTTCTTAATCGGTGATGCAGGCGACAACGCTGTGTGCACTCTGCTAGTGTGATGTGTGCTAGTGTGATGTGTGCTAGTGTGATGTGTGCTTGTGTGTGCTAGTGTGACGTGTGCTTGTGTGTGCTAGTGTGACGTGTGCTTGTGTGTGCTAGTGTGACGTGTGCTTGTGTGTGCTAGTGTGACGTGTGCTTGTGTGTGCTAGTGTGACGTGTGCTTGTGTGTGCTAGTGTGACGTGTGCTTGTGTGTGCTAGTGTGACGTGTGCTTGTGTGTGCTAGTGTGTGCTTGTGTGTGCTAGTGTGATGTGTGCTAGTGTGATGTGTGTTTGTGTGTGCTAGTGTGACGTGTGCTTGTGTGTGCTAGTGTGATGTGTGCTAGTGTGATGTGTGCTTGTGTGTGCTAGTGTGTTGTTTAGAAGAAGGAAACTCATTTATCCAACACGTGTGATATTTTTACTGTTTTGATGATTAAAATGTGTGTGTTTCATATGAACTTTGCACAAGAAGTGATTTAACAAAGATTTTTAGTATCACAGCCATGATTTAACCCTTTTTTTTATGGAATCAAATCAAATTGAAATGTATCATATTGAATCGTAAGTTCACTGTATCGAGATATGTATCGTATCACGGCCTGTGTATCGAGATATGTATCGTATCACGGCCTGTGTATCGAGATATGTATCGTATCAGCAGCTTCATAATGATACCCTGCTAGGGGTGTACAAAAATATCAAAATATCAATATATTGTATCACTTAACTTGATGATACAAAATTGATATCGTGAGCTGCTGTATCAATATATCACCAAGAGTATTTTTTTTGGTATATTTTACTCTATTATTTTGTCACAGAGCTACAGTTTTGTCGTTTGTTTGGTGGAAGGAAACTTGTTCATGTGACAGATTTGACATTTTCACAGTTTTTATGATTAAAATGTTTGTGTTTCATTTTAACTTTGCACAAGATGTGGTTTAACAAAGACATTTAGTGTCACAGCAATGAATCAATTTGAAATACATCATATCGAATTGAAAGTGCATCGAGATATGTATTGTATCGGCAACTTCTTAACAATACCCTGCCCTATCAGGAGCCAATAAAGGCCAAATTAAAGCACAATACGCCCACATTAAACGCCCTACCCATGTGTTCAAAAACCATGTGTGCAAAATGTGTCTTGCCCCAGTAGAGTGTATTATATAAGCTGCTACTGGGATTCAAAATAAATCTGCTGCGTGCTGTCTGCATCTAATTATAAATGGTTTTATTGTCCAAAAATCCAGAAGTGCACCGTTAGCTTGCTAGTTATGGGGTCACATCTGCACTTGATAGCTACAGTTTTGTTGCTCGTTTAGAGGAAGGAAACTGGCTGATGCAACACATTTGACATTTTCACTGTTTTGAGGATTAAAATGTTTGTGTTTCATTTTCACTTTGCATAAGAAGTTTGTCCAAGTTTAACAAAGACTTTTAATACCACAACCATGATTTGTTACTGTATCAAACTGATCTGAAATATATCGTATCCATACAGCAGCTCACAATATCGATACTGTATCATCAGATTAAACGATACAATATCATATTCAGTGTTGGGAAGGTGACTTTTAAAATGTATTCCCCTACAGATTACAGATTACATATCCCAAAATGTAGTTTGTATCATAATTCATTAAATTACTTAAAGTGAGTAACGTAATCTGAATACTTTGGATTACTTGATATTGTCATGTTTTTTAAAACTACATGAATCTATCAACCACATCCTGAAAATTCTTGTTTGTTCAGTCTTTACTTGACCAGATTAAAAAATATTATTTTCCTAGTCCTGCTTTAGTCCTGCTTTAGTCCTGCTTTAGTCCTGCTTTAGTCCTGCTTTAGTCCTGGATTTAGACCTGGATTTAGACCTGGTTTTAGCCCTAGTTTCGTCCTGGGTTTAGTCCTGGGTTTAGTCCTGGTTTAGTCCTGGTTTAGTCCTGGTTTAGTCCTAGATTAGTCCTAGTTTAGTCCTAGTTTAGTCCTAGTTTAGACCTGGTTTTAGTCCTGGTTTTAGTCCTGGTTTTAGTCCTGGTTTAGTCCTAGTTTAGTCCTAGTTTAGACCTGGTTTAGTCCTGGTTTAATCCTGGTTTAGTCCTGGTTTAGACCTGGTTTAGTCCTGGTTTAATCCTGGTTTAGTCCTGGTTTAGCCCAAAATGTGAAAAATGTGAAAACAGGAAAAAAACAGGAAAATACCGCCATGTAATCCATTTATTTCAACAAAGTAACTGTAATCCAATTACCACTCACTGAAACAGTAACTGTAACTGAATACAGTTACTCATAATTTGTACTCTGATTACATAACTCCGGTACATGTAATCTGTTACTCCCCAACACCGATCATATTATCGAATTGAAAGTTCACTGTATCGAGGTATGTATGGAAGATAATTTGTTCCATCAGATTTTGAATTTTAAACACCACTGAATTTCTCACTTAAATTTTTTTAACTCTGAAAAAAGATGTTTGATTTATTTTTATTCTGAATTTTAGTTGCTGAAATTTGAAGTTTACTTGCGTGTACTATGTTTTAAATTCAAAATAAATAAAAAAAAAAAATTACCAGATAGTTTCAAGCCCTTACATTCAACAGTTGAAATTCAGAGTGTAAAATTCACAGTGAAAAATTAGACAGCAAAGATCCAAGATGCCAAGGCAGAAGCAATCGATCATGTGTGAGCGAGGAGGACAGAGGCTGCTTCCTATTGGCTGTTCTCATCTGTGGGCGGGGTTTACACTTAACAAATCAAAGCGATGAGGTTTCGATGAGGCTAATTCTGACCAATCAGATCGCTTCACTGCAACATTTCCCGTTTCTTAATAAGTTAGATTGGATCACTTTGGATCGATTGCTTAGGCCTTGACATCCTGGATCTTTCCTGTGAATTTTTTTGTTGCGAATTTTATCTGATGAAACAAATTATCTTCCATAGGCATGTATCATATCGGCAACTTCTGAATGATGAGTTGTGTGAGTTGTGAGAGTGATAATCTGGCACAAAGCATGTAAAATAAGACAAACTAAACTAACCAACATACTGTGGAACATTTCAGGCCAAGCAATGACATCTCCATGGATACGAGCCGCTAATGGACCTTTCACCAGAAACAAATAGAGCACCTTTAACACTGGATAATTGAAGCATAATTTCACGTTGAACAGCTGCTTTTGTGTCAAAGCACTTCACCAAATCACCAGGGCAACTAGTGAGGCTCTCTGTCGTTTTCAGACTGATAAAAATCCAGCACTGGCACCGTTTCCATAACAACTAACCATTCAAAACAAACCCTCCTATCTTTTTAAATGTGTCCTTAAAATGTCACCTATAAACAGGAAGCTGTAAAACCACGAACACCAGTGGGCAGTGTCGGGGAGTAACAGATTACACGTTCTGGAGTTACGTAATCAGAGTACAAATTATGAGTAACTGTACTCAGTTACAGTTACTGTTTCAGTGAGTGGTAATTGGATTACAGTTACTTTTTAAAATAAATGGATTACATGGCGGTATTTTCCTGTTTTTACATTTTGGGCTAAACCAGGACTAAAACCAGGACTAAAACCAGGACTAAACCAGGACTAAACCAGGACTAAACTAGGTCTAAACCAGGTCTAAATCAAGACTAAACCAGGACTAAACCAGGTCTAAACCAGGATTTAACAGGACTAAATCATGCTGTGTGGACTGTGTCTCCTCCTCTTCTATCAACAATATTTTTAATTTGGTTCAGTAAAGTCTTGGCATTTTTATTTTCTTTTAGCAGATAAAACATCTTATGTGAAGATGTACGTTATAAACTACATTTTGGGGTGTGTAATCTGTAATCTGTAGGGGAATACATTTTAAAAGTAACCTTCCCAACACTGCCAGTGGGTAATAGGTTCTGTTCCTCACTGTCCTGCCTCCTCCTCTCACTGGAAAGCCTCAGATAAGCGGGAGTCTTTGGTAGCAGGAGGTAGTGGGCTTGTCCTAATTATACAATACTCCAAGGACATTGTGTCAGACTGGCAACACTACACGGCCATGGGAATGTTCAGCCCGCAGGACGCGTTTAATAAAGGTCTGTGTCTGTGTCAACCCCAAATACTCGTTAATATGAATTTTAAAAACAATGGAATCATGTTGTATGGAGCAGAGGAGCCTGTTTTTGTGTTGGTTGTGGAGAAAATATGAACACATCCCTTGAGAACAGGTCTGTAGCAGCAGCATGGACCCGATGTAAACAACAATTCAGAGCCATTTTGGGTGATTTTTTTGCCTTACCTGGCGTTAGAAAACCAACATGTCCCTGATAGGTTGCACGTCTTTACGCATGCGTGTTGCTAGATAATTATCACTTACCTGCGAGGTTAAAAGCGTGGAATAATGTCAGGGTGTCGGTGCAGCGGTGCAGCGGTGCTACGGTGATCTACGGTGGTGTCACTGTGGTGCGAGTCCCGTGTGTTTGTGTCCGTGTGGCGCCGGAGACCATCGGCATCCCCGCGTCCGACGAGCCGCTCCTCTGGGCTGGAGACGTCCGAGCGGGCTGGGGGTCGGCTGTGGGCTGGGGGTGATGCGAGCGCTACATGAGACCGTTCCTCCCCCGCCGGAGCTGAAGACACAGCGGCCGTGAGAGCTCCGCGGCGCCGTGCGTGTGAGCTCCGAGTCCAGGCGAGCCCTCCTCCGCGCGTAGCCTCCTCCCAGAGCGCCGCCCTCCTCCTCCTCCCCGCCCGTGCGCCCTCCTCCTCCCGGTGTAGTGCCCTTCAAACGGAACGAGGCCACGGCGCTTCCGTAAACGCTCCGTGGCGCGGCGGAGGATCACGGAGCAGACGCAAACATGGCGCCGCGTTCGGACTGAGCTCTAATCGCACTGAAGCGCCTCTCACGTGTCACTGGGTTCTTGGTGAACGTTTCATGCAACGACAAAGTGAATCATAGTAAAAAAAATAAAAATAAATAAGCAGTGTGTGTGATCTCCAGACTCATGACCCGTGTCTGCCACCTGCACATGTCCGCCCTCTAGTGGCAGCGTGAGGAAAGATCATGTCAAAAGTCTGAGCTTGTGGTCTTGTACATAAAACAAAAAATCCTTAATTTTTTTCATTCTCATTGTGGTTTATTTTATACGATCATAAACGATAAACTTTAGTGCCTTCATGAACATTATTATTAGTTTGGGAGGGGATTGGAAATGTAAAAGCTGCTTCACCCATCCCCTTTTCCCCTTTTCTAACCTTGCATGATTGTGTGTGCGTTTGTATTGGTACTTTGTTACGTGAGACGACCACAGCGGCTTATAGTGACCATACCGACTTATCAAAGCCTGATCCCATCAGATCTCAGAAGTTCAGCAGGACTGGGCCTGGTCAGTACTTGGATCAGAGACTGCTGGGAAAATCAGGTGCCACATTGGGGCATCAGTCACAATAACTGCCTTTGTGTCCTTAGGCAAGACACTTCACCCACATTGCCAAGTATGAAAGTGGTGTGTGTGTGAGTGATGGTGGTGGTCGGAGGGACCAATGGCTCCAATTGACATGGCAGCCGCGCCTCTGTCAGTCTGCCCCAGGGCAGCTGTGGCTACAATAGTAGTTTACCACCATCGGGTGTGGAGCAAAAAGAATAATGAATCTGTAATCCTCTGTAAAGTGTCTTTGTGACATATGGCTGTGAAAACTGTTATATAAATAAAGACTTACTAAGTTTGTACAACCATAAATGAAAAAAAAAAACAATGGTTAAAAAAAGAATAGAAGAACTAAGTAAAAAAAAAAAAAAGTGATTGTATTTGTGTTATTTTTGTTTATTTTTTGTATTTGTGTTTGTGTTGTGTTATTAAAAAAATTAAAAAGTCTAACACCGTAGAAGCCTTAAAAAAAGTATTTAGTTTGTTTTCATTGATTTTTGTCTCTTATATTTACAGTAAGTCATAAGTGAAATTGTTCATTCAAACCTGCTGTTCATATGCTGCTTTTCTTTCTTGGAATTCTGTCATTGTTTAACAGAGTTTGGCTTCAGAAGTACTTTTACTTCAATCTAAACTCTCCTCAAAGTTCTGCAAAATGACCAAATAAACTACTACTAAAACTATATTACACAAAATCCTCAAAAACCTGGAGTTGTTTTGTTTCATTTACACATGTTTGAGAAACAGTTTATTATTCGTCTGTCTACATCTCCAAAGCTCCAAATGTTCAGCTCCACCTTGTGATGTCATGAAGTGGTAGTTTTCACGTTAACAGCTCCTTTTACCTTTAGTTCAGTAGAGATTAGAACCAAACAGGGTTAAAATCATCCAAATGATTTTAGTGAAGGTGTGTGGAGTTTAAATACACAGTGGAGCACTTCCTGTATTACCTCATGACATCACAAGGTGGAACAGTGTTTTCAGTTTGAGAATAGAACTCATCTTAAATGTGCAGGTTTCCATGTTAAACATGTGTGAAAGAAGAAAAACACAACTGCAGCCATGATTTGGATTAAACATTCTGATATAATATGGGCCCTTGAAAAGAAATGTGTGTAAGATTTAGATTTTAAATGTGGTAAACTTTGTTCAAACCAAATGACTTTTACTGATCATTTTAATCTGTTCTTGATTACAAAAACACTGGGCAGGATTTATTGATGGTATAATGATCCAATCAGAAAGCAGAATGAGCCTCACATGACTCTCTCAGTTTAATGCTGAAATCCAAACTGCGTCTCTCTGATCTGAATGGTCTCTACCTAAACCCCAGCACCTGCATGAGTCATGTGTCAGTGCTAGTGCAGCCTCTGCAGCTCAGGGAGGGAATTCTAGAGGTTCTGATCTTCACATGAGGCTTGAACATAAACTGAGAATGAGACAAACCTGGACTTGTCTATCTACAGGTGAAGACTCTCGAGACACAGAGTCAGTTGTGATGGTAGAATCTTTTTTAAATTGTAATAATAGATGCTTCCTTTAAATCCAACACAGACTTTGCCTGTCAGACACAGATGTGTGCCTGCTGATGGAAAACATCACCACCAGTGAGCAGGCGATATGAGCCACTCTGGAGTTAGTTTTACCTGCACTATAGTAGTCTAGTAGGCCAACATTTACTTCTTGGATAAAGATCATTGTGGTCTAAGAATGTGCTGGACTCTTCATCAGTGAAACAGCTCCATGTTGTGACCTCCTAAAAGCTCAGCTAATACACAGAGGAGTGTGCATGGAGCTGAGGGCTCTGCAGATGTTCTGGAGGTAGGACTGAGCCCAGCTCACTGTGCACTACATCACAACACTTCAATTCACAATGAAAGAAAAAATCTAACATTTTCACGATGATTAACACACAAATACATCTGAACCTCTGCTCCCCGGACAGAGAGGGAGAGGAGGGGCTGGAGGACTAAAGTGGAGGGTGAGCGGGAGGAGGGACTCTTCCTGTTCTACGCTGGAGTATTGAACCAGTTACCCTTTGGTTCATACACAATACTTAACCTACTGCACCACTGCCTCCATCCTTTCAGAGGTCTGATGCTCATTCTTCTACACTGATGAGGGGACAGTGGGTACTCACGAGGCAGGCTCTCCTCCTGAGGTGGGACATGGTGATGAGGGTGTTGGGGCAGATCCTGGTGTCTTGGTTGGGGTCTAGTGTACGTTTGAGCTGGTGCACAAAGACCACTCAGTCGTGCTCCCCTGTGAGGTCACAGGAGGTTAGAGGAGGCCAGAGGACCCGGGGGTCTCTCTGAAACACACACAGGGTCACATCTGCACCTGTGGTGTTACAATCACATGTCTTGACCCAGCAGAACAGACCTACTGTGTTTTCCAGTGAGCATCTGCTTTCACTGTCCAAGGTCCCAGTGCTGTTTGGAGTCTGACATCCCTGAGGAACTATGGAGGAGGACGTGCAGAGGATGCAGCGCTGAAGTGAAAGTGAAACAGTAAAGAAGAAAATTCAAGCCTGCAGTTCTGTCAGTCCTGATGGGGAATGTAAGGTCACTGGGAAATAAGATGGACAAAATGAGTGCACTTGTTGGGACCCAGAGGGAGTACACTGTCAGCAGTATCATGTGCTTCACAAACACCTGGCTTCATATGAACTTCCTGAACAAAAGTACATCTGTACCAGGCTTTAAGACTGTGTGTGGACAGAGACACTCTCCTTAAAGAAGAAGGGCGGTGGGATTGGTGTTTTGGTGAACAAGAGGTCAAAGAGAGGTGTCCATGTCACTGTGAAGGAGTGTATCTGTTCCCCGGATATTAAACTTTAGGCTTTGCGAATGTGTCCATATTATTTACCAAGGGAATTGACTTGTGTCCTGTTCACTGGAGTTTACATCCCTCCCTCAGTGGTTGAAGATGCTGCCTGTGACAGGACACACACTGTGGTCTCTGGGCTGCTGTCAGAACATCCAGAGGCTCTACTTCTGATTTCTGGAGACTTCAGCCATGTTTCCTTGGACAGTGTTTCACCCACACTTCACCAGTATGTGAACTGTAAAACTCAGGACAATAAAACTCTGGACCTGTGTGCCAATTCTAAGGAGGCATCAGTGCCACTGCCCTGTCCCCCGGGACGATCAGAACACACTCTTGTATGTCTCAGTATGTCCCTGCAGTGAAGAGGAAGACTGTCACCACTAACACTGTAAGGAAGTGGAGTCAGGAAGCCAGTCATGCCCTTCAGGAGCTTCGACACCACAGGAAACATCAACAGCATGACAAACTGAAGGATCTGCTTAACAAGAAGAAGTGGGCCTTCACCTCTGGTGACAAGGATGAGGTGAAGAGGGTAATGAGGTAATGCAGAGGTAAGAGGTAATGCAGGCTTCACCTACTCCTTTACTTTACACCTAAAGGTCACAGACGTTTAAAAAAAAGGGGGACAATTCCAACTAAAGTTTACTGGAATTACTGGGGTTAAAATGAAAATCCTGTACACCTGTCTGTGTACCAAAGATGTAAGAGACTGAAGCTGGACACCACTATCAGAGACTCCAGTGAGGGACAGGAAACAGCTGTGAAGGTTCAGCTCCTCCTGACCCTGCCCTCCTCCACCTGGTACTTATTATGTCATCTAGTGTCCTCACATCTTATCATTATTACATGATTATAATATATCAGTAATGAATGTTATCATAGTGGATGGGTTGTATTTTACTGCTGTTTCTTATTATTTATTTATCTTTATCAACACTGATAAAGAAATACATATTTGAATGACAGATCATTTATATGGTGGTTGTTTGGAGGTTCCTCTGATTTGGAAGCTGGAGAAATCATGAAGCTTCAGTCGTCAGTGCTGGAGCTTCAGCTCAAACTACAGGAGCTGACAAATGTACAGAAGCAACCAAAACTCAATCACTTCTGTGTCTCTGGCAGTGATTTTTGTTTTTACACCAGTTTCCCATCAGGACATGTGTTACGGCTTCAGGCCTTAGATTGTCATTTATTTTGTGTGTTCTAAATTATTCTGCTGACACACCTTGAGTCCTGTTGTGGGAGCCCTGGTTTGGGATTGGTGGGGTATGTCGACGCCCACCTCACCTGCAGCCACCTCCCACTATTTAAGAAGATGACCTGCACCTGTTCAGGGCTGCTGGCCTTGGTGACCAGTCTGCCATTTTGTGTTTGTTCCTGTGTGTAGTTTAGTTTAGTTCTGTTTTGTGCCTTTTTTGATTTGGTCACTCGATTCTGTTTGTGGGTTTATGTGCTTTAATTTGGGGAACTTGTGTTTAGTTTACTGTGTTCCC